CACACACACACAGAGCACAGACTTTTAGGCGCCCCTGGACTGTTGTTTTTCTCATGAGACAGAGAAACAGACAAAGCAAAAGTTTTCCCCTGGCTCCTTTTCTATGGTGGGTCAAACTGCTATCAAAGTCATGGAGCAAGGGCATAATAGAAGGAATAGGTATAAACCTTGAAGTCCTAAGGTATAAACCAGGAGCCACCTACCTGCCCCACACTCAGATCATGAGGATTTTCTAGCATTCCCTTTGGTCCTAACCATTCAGTGCCTCAACCTACCATGGCAAGATCAGCCCATCAGCAACAGCTGCAATTAGAGGAATCATTTCCCTTCTGGCCAATGCCACTCCCCTTCTACCTCCAAGACTCCTTCTTTACCCCAGATTCATCCTAGAGGTCCACTCCACCTCCACCACCAGCCATTGGGCTTCTCCTTCTCTGAAGCCCAGCTGCCCTGCTGGGGGCCTGCTCCAGTGAGTTTTTCAAAGGGGAGAAGTGTTTAGGGGACAAGTGTTTAGACTCAGACTAAAATTGCAGTAAAGGTATCTGGTTTATAGGAAGCCAAGTGGATTAATTTGAAAGCTGAGTGGGCTCAAGGAGTTTATGCCACTGACATAGAATACAGCTGGATCAACTTTGCTTAGATAATTTTCAGCCGTAATAATGACACATACACTACTTTAATTTGCAGAAGCACATATTTAAGTAAGGCAAAAATCAATTCCCGATATACCAAACCTTAGATATAATAGAAACAGAATGAATTCAAGGAATATAAAAGAATCTGAAGACTTAAATCAAATCCCATATACATTCAATCTTCATTGCACAATGTCTGTCAGACTTCTGCAGCAATCAGTTCCCAACAACTTTCTCGCAAAGAAGTAAAGTTTATTGAAACATTGAAGTATGCAGATTGTCTTTACACATCATGCGTTAGAACTGGAAATAAGCACAAGAATCAAGCAGATATACATAATTCAAGCGGGTCCCTTGATGGCCTGGAGCTAATCATGGAATAGGTAAAAGTCCACCAAAGCTAACAGGTCTAGTTCCCCAGAAGAAAGCTGGTGCTAGACACCAAGGCCAAACACTCATGTTACAGTAATAAAGAATCACTGAAGGCACAGAGAAAGGAAACATAAAATTCCAGAGGCACTCCCCCTCACTCCATGGCAGCTAGAGCCCTAACTGACAATGTCCTCTCACCAGTCTATCCGATCTTTTATAAAAGCTAGGATGGACTAAACTATCATTTCTAAGCATATTCTGGAAAAGAGACTAGGAGCAAGTCCACCATTATCTTTCCAGTGTACTATAAGAATAAATAAGAACTAATGAGTAATCAGTACACACGCAGTATTCTACATTTAAAATTGTTACCATGATGTTTTAACACTTGACATTATTTTAACATTATTTTGCATTCACTTGATGTTCAGGGACCAATTTCTGCCACATTACTAGATAATTACAGTGCTAATTTATTCTGTAGACTGAATTATAATGTTGCCCAGTTGTTTAAGTGACTAATGTAAATTACCTATGATGTCTATACAAGGTACAGGAAACTATAAGCTGCCATCTCTTGACATTAGAGCCAATTAGCAAAAAGGCCATACAATAAAGACGTAGGAGGAAAATGAATGGTGATTATGTAGTATGAGTTATTAGGAACTATTAAGAGTGCGTTAAGATTACAAATGCTATTTTAGCTCTATCAACAGAGACAGATAACACTGCTAAAATTCATTTAAAGTCTTAACATGATCACTGGTTTGTTGCCCTTGATGAAATAAGTTTCATTATTATTTAAATTGTGATGTATTGCCACCTTCTTTTTAAAGTTAAGAATGGACCTATTATGCAAAATACATAACTATTTGCAACATAAATTTTCATAGTTTCCTTGGCTTTGGTAAATGTAAAGTTCTAAGCTATTAATCTATATTACATTTATTTGGGACTTACTTGAGTATCCTGGATTTCCCCCCTCTTTGTTAGGAGATAGCAGTTACTGACCTGCAACTGTTTCATACAATCTTAAAAATGTGAGGTTTCAGGAGCTGAGGCTCCCAGGGGGTAGTTTCCAAGAAGGCTGGACTTCCACTGAGAAACAGTTTGCATGAATGGAACTCACACTATTTATTGGTCCACATATGCATTAGGTAGCTAATATGCAAAAAGATTATATGCAGATATACCACCGACTATACATGTGACATGAAATCCATGATTTTACAGAGATCTACCTTTACAAGGATTTTGTTGTTTGTTGGAAATGGCAGATGCTCCATTAATTTGACAAAAAAGAAAAAACCCCACTAAATTACCTCTAGACATAATGATGTAAACAAGATTCAAGAACAGCATTACATAAGTGAGGGTGATGAATTCTGCCTGTTCATTAAATGATACAGTGTTGGTTCCAAGACAGTGTTTTGGTGAATGCAGGGACTTCTGTCTGCAAGTACAATTTCTGTGGATCCCCCATCTCACAGCAGCCCAAAATGTCCCGGAAATCCTGTTACTTTGGAGAGAGGACATTCAGGGGCAGAACTAGGTGGCATTTCAAGTTGCTGCAGGAACAGTGACCTACAAAATTGATGCTACATAGGTGACAAGTCCTTGAACCCAAGGAAATGCTGCACTGAATCAAACCCAGTGCATGCAAGTATTTACAAATATAACCAAGAATATTGTTACAAATGAGAATTTCTTTCATTGTACTGTATGTTCATCTTATTTAAAAACTGTACCGAAAGGCTAACTCTTCTTTTGGAAGTTCTTTGTAATCTAGACACACTTTTGAATAAATGGAAAATACATTGAGAAATTTGGGGGTAAAAATTTGGAACCAGATTAATATGCACATTTTGGGTAGGCTGATTCTAAAAATGTTGGCTCCCAAGCTGCATTTTGAGTTCCTGAATCACAATCTGTTTTTTGTTAAAAATCAGAAACTAAAATAGATTGCTTTGGTTTTCTTATATGCCATGCACGCATTGTCAATACATTTCTGTTTCTAAAGATTAAGTGTATAATTTCTTTATCATCAGACTGTAACCTGGAAAACAATCAGTGTTGCATAAATACAGCAATCAGATTTATGGAAGAACATTTGAAACTAAAATTATGTAACAATCAGAATGTAACTGTAACATTTTCAAATACTGCTAATAGCACCAACTAAAACAAGACTTCATACTAATTAATTTTGATAGTCATTTGGGTTTATTATTTACATGCATGTGTTCTGGTCAACTTTTATGCTTGCTGCAGCATCACGCTGAGGTACACCATAATCCAGATATGTAGCATTTGCACCTCAGCATTAGATACTGCAAATGACAGAAGCAACCAGTTACTTCCAATGTGCAACTGGAATGGGGCTCAGAGTCTGGCTTCTTGTTATGTCCTGTTAGTCTTGTTATGTCTTGTTAGTCTACAGACAAGGTCTGGAAGTTCTGTGCTCACAACTCAGTTCCTTAGCCCTGATTCGGATCAGGGTCATTGTACCTACAGAAAGGGAGCTTAAGCCTCCCTCCTCCATAGAAGAAGAAAAAGAAGAGATTGGATTTATACTCCACCCTTCACTACGTGAAGGGGTCTCAGAGCGGCTTACAATCTCCTTTCCCTTCCCCTCCCCACAACAGACACCCTGTGAGGTAGGTGGGGCTGAAAGAGCTCTTTCAAGGACTGCCCGTGAGAGAACAGCTCTGAAAGAACTTATAACTGACACAAGGTCACCCAGCAGGCTACATGTGAAGGAATGGGGAATCAAACCCGGTTCTTCCAGATTAGAGTCCAAGCTCCTAACCACTACACCAAACTAGCTCTCCATAGCATCTTCCTAACCTGAAATGGAGAACTGTTATTTGTCACACTGGAAAAACGTACTAGCAGTTCATATGCAGCACATCAACATCTATCATTAATAGTCTATCACTAACTTTAGGAAAGTTCTTGTTTATTCTTTAAAGAGATAATATATCACAAAAGTCTATAATATTGATGTTTTATTGTCTGCCTCTATATTTGAAATATGTAATACATTTGGTAATACATCTGATTTTACCTGTTGCATGTAACAACTCATAATTTTTGACAAACCCGATGAATTTATATTTTCCCCCTATCCCTTCTTCCCTTCTGTATCCCACCTTTTTTTTTGAGAAAATAATAAAAAATTAAATTAAAAAAACCCATTAAGTTTACCCAATGGAGCAGATAGCTTCCCTCATCAAATACATCAAGTGTTGTTGCTACTGGGGCACAAAATTAACATGGAGTACTTTTAACATTTTGTTTCCTAAAGTCAAATTAAACATGCTAAACCAGAACATGTTTAGGGTACTGGGAAACATTCCAATTCATTTTTTTTCCCCTGGAAAACCCACAGGTGAGGAATCCGGATGTCTTAGTGATTATGAACAGTCCATTTCAGCTCCATCAGCTTAGGGAATAGTACTTGGTCTACTAAAATTACTATATACATCTATCCATGATACAAAGGTATAGCCACATACTGCTTCACCACTGTATTGAGTGTTTTCAGCTCATGAGCTGGGGAAGAATAATAGGCAAACAACGAATATTTATATATTTGCAGACATTTGATCATACTTGATCATTTACAGCAATTGCAGTAGCATTGTTGAGAGTAAATTTTATTGCTATGGTTTGAATGGCTAATCCTTTGCACATAGGGCCAGTAGGAAATGGCACATCAAAGCTATTTGCTGGTGGGCAGCAGATTAGGAGAAGCACAGAATATTCATGATGCCAAAAGGTCATAGATGGATAAATCTGTGGAAGACAGAGTTGTCAGGAGATGGCACATCACATTTGCAGGTGGACATGAACATATGCAATTGCATTATAGTGAATCAGACCCTTGGTCTATCAAAGTCAGTATTGTCTACTCAGACTAGCAACAGCTCTCCAGGGTCTCAGGCAGAGTTCTTTCACATCATCTACTGCCCTACTACTAGATCTTTTAACTGGAGATACCAGGGATTGAACCTGGGACCTTCTGCATTCCATGCAGATGCTCTGCCAGTGAGCCATAGCCCCTCCCACGTGGACTGAGGGAGAGTAAATTCCTTGTTGTTATAAAAACCCTCCATCTCACCTAGACTGTTTTTGTGTCCTACTGGTGGTACACATGCCACTGGCTGAAAACCACTAAAGAACAATATATGACAAAATGACTACCATCACCTTGAAGTGCGTAGGTAAATATTATTTACTCTTATAGTTAAGCAATGCAATCCTAGGCAGGTCTAGGTAAAGGTAAAGGTTCCCTTGTTCGAAAGCCAGTTTTACTGAGTTTAATAAGTCTTATTCCCAGGTAAGTGTGCATAGGGTTGTGGCTCAAGTAATCATTAACAAGTCTGAACCAAATTCTTGTGGACAGAAATATATGTACCAAAATCAAACCTTACCTACTACTTTTATTCTTAGAGGGTTACAGTTCAGTTGGGAAGCAATATTTATGGATCCCGGATACCCATATTGTGTTCAAAACACTAGCTCCCAACTTTTACCCACAAATACTCCAACAGATAACACTTTTTAAAAATGCAACTAGATTATCACAACATTTTAACAACTGGGGAAAGAACATGAGCCACCAATTCTACTACACACACTTTTCAAAAGTTCAGTGTCTTCCAAAGCAATCTTGAATTATGATTTATTAAATTTTACACAGAGTTTAACCCCCTCCAAAGCAATGTAGAGCAATAAGCTACTTGCTACCCAACCTGTGGGTACATGTGTCATAGTAGTTCCAAGGGAGAGATGAACAAGTCAACTATAAGGAAACAGTCAGGTCAAAAGGACAATAGAACGTATGCAACAGGTGAGAAGAAATGAAAGCTACTACATCACTATTAGACTGATGATTAGCTACTTTCAAAAATTAAACTTCAAAGTCATCTTCATTTGCAGGACAATGTTCTACAAGTGTTGTTCATCCCATGAACATGAAGAGCGACACATGTGTATGAGAAATTCTGAAAAGTTCTCTTTATCAGCAGCTCTCAAATTTTAAGGATATTCTATAAATTTTTCAAGGCTATAAATTTCTCCTAAAGCAGAAATATTCTAAAAACTTGGTTTCTTATATTTCTGCTTTCAAATGCTACTTGTTTTACAAATTCAATCTTTGCCTTAGACAAGCTAATATTTCTTTGCCTTAGCTGTCCAATCTATAATTTGAGTATAACTGTACTGATCCTTCTTTACAGAGTTATTGGATGAGATAATGTGAAGCATTTGGAATGCCTTAAATGTAATCTGGGATTCAGCGAAGTCTAAAAAGTTATCCAGCACCCTGATTTAGCAGAAAATGTAACAGTGGTGGATAAGAAGCCTTCAACCCTATATAACCAACATAGGCTCATGAAGCTATGACAGTATCTAGTTACTCAAAGTTTAGAGTTCATTTAGCAAATATATTTGATGCTAAATCTGTAATTAAATCTATGAATATGGCAATACTCATTTGATTGTAATCAAATTATTTAAATCACTAGTCAAGAAAACTCAGTTTAATCACTGTTTTCTATGAGAAGTTCTTGTTCGATCTAACTTTAATACATATTCCTCACATCGGTGACAGGTGTAAGCTTCCTCCTCAAATTAACTTCCTTTTGAGAAGGAGCATTTCTCAGAATGTTGGTTACTTTAGATAACCACAGTTTGTACTTCTTGCAGCACTGTTTGCATTTTGCATGCTTGTATCTTTAACCCACAGGTAGAGGGATTTTTTTACAAACTATTCCCAAATAGGATCTCTTATGCCCTGCTGCCATGTTAGGCTTTCCATTCTACAGTCAATGGAGGCTAAAACCAGAAAATCCCTGAAAGCTTTATTTATAGTCTGCCTTTCTCACTGTGACTCAAGACAGATTACAAAAATTAAATTAATGTGATAGGAACAGTATAAAACAAACAATAAACTATATAATACAACAGAATAAACTATCTCGAGGCAGTCAAAGAAGTTATAAAATTATCATTCTAGGTGTCTCCAGCACCATGCTCAAGAGCACATCTGCCAACTCAGACAGGATGACTACCAGGGAATTAGGTGGCCAGAAAACAAGCAGCATGACTGATCTTTCCTTACATTCATCAAACATCCTGCTCTAGGTAAATATTGCCCCCAGCACCACTAATAACTCCCACACACCCCACATTCAACATGCTAGCAGCATCAACATACTAGTATCAACAAGACGCACTGAAGTCCACTGCTATAGCCAAGAGATATTGATGTTAGCACTGTCCAGCTGGTATTGTTCTATATCAGTACTGCTTCTGGTTTCCAGATAGGTAACTTGTGTTACTCTAACTCTATAGTAGTGGTGGACCTTCTTCAACTCATTCTGTTTACTGGCTGGGCCCTGGTTGTATGGCCACAGGCCAAGAGCCTTTTAGTTTGCATCAAAAGACTCATTCCTCTGGTGCTAGACTGTGCAGCACCTCCACACCTGTTAAAAACATGGAGAGACACCCATTAGGAGTGACTTGCCTCTCAGCATCTCACAACAGGGCATATGAGGAGAAGCAGTATTTTAGCTATGTACATCATAGGCCATGCAGGACTTTGTAGATGATAGTCTATATAGAAAGTAATTGGTTACCTATGGAGGGACTGCTAAACAGGTGTCCTACGCATCCTCCACCTAGCTCCAAATAGTAATCAAGCTGTAACATTATGTACCAAATGGAGTTCCCGGGTTGTATCCAAGGGCAGACACCAGCACCATCTCAGGCTCATAGCGCACCTGTTCTATACGCCTTCAGTTAGGAAGGCCTGGAGCTGCTCTGCAACCAATCTTTCAATCACATTGCCAAAAGAGGACAAATTCGAAATTGGAAACTAATTGGTCACAACATTCTCCTCTAATGATGGTTCTTTAAGTAGTAGATTGATAACCACTTCTTTTAATAACTGGGGAAAGTTGCCATGAATCAGTTGATCTGGGATGAACATCAGAGACTCAAAATGGATAGAGATCAAGAGTACAAGTGGTGGCCTTTACAGATCCACAGATCTTATAAACATTCATCCTGGTAACTGAGCCGACATAATCCATGAATGGACCAGACAGTGTGCACTTCTATAGCCTGAGCTATAGTACAACTGGCATCCAAATCAGAATGTATTTGAGAGATTTTATCACCAAAAAACTTTGCAAAGTTTTTAGGCCCCAAAAATGTAAAGGCTCAGACCACAGAATTAGCATACCATAAACAACTGAGCCAGCTGTGAACTAAGTAATGCAATGGCAACAGGAAAATGAGATTTATTTTCTGTTGACACTACAGCCTCATAGGACTTCCAGTGAGCTCTACAGCATGCTCCCATCCTATCATATCCCAAGTTTTCCAAAAGTGTCCTTAAACATAGGTATGCCACAAGACTCCATTCAGCTAACCTTTTTTCCTGACTTTTGAAAGTACCTGTTGCTACCATACCACACTTCATATCTCCCTTAAGGAGAGAGTAACTAGGGTCACCAACTCTAGAAATACCCAGAATTACATCTGATTTTCAGACTACAGAGACCAATTACCCTGGAAGAAATGACAAATTTAAAAGACGTGCTTCTATGACATCTCCTCCCTGATAAGTTCCCTCCCCAAACTCTGTCCTCCCCAGGTACTTCTCTCCAAATCTCCAGGAATTTCCTAAAATGAAGTTATAAACACTAAGAGGAATAGCAGTTGAAGATTTCTCCCTGGCTCTGACCCTTGGCTTGGTCCTCCTCACTATAATATTTTGGCTGGGAAAGCATTCCCTGCCTCATGGTGCTTGGCTAATGTTCTCCAGTTCCTAGCTCTTTTGGTCGGATAGACTTTTTCTTTCATCCTCCTTTCTTACAGTCTTCATGCGGTAAGCCTAACACACACATGAACTACTTGCAAACCCAGTGTCCTCCTGCCCAGTTTTGACTTTATATAAATAACCTAGGACAAGGTGACAGTATCATCCTAAACAGAGTTACACATTTCCAAGCCCATTAACTTAAATAGGCTAACAAGGGTATAATTCTACCTAGGATAATTAGCAATATCAAAAAAATGCTTCAAACTTTGCCCCACACACCAAAAAGCAAGTGCTTACTAAATATACAACTAAAGAAGGAAAACCAATAAGGTGCTTTTTCTTTTCTACAGCTAGATACATATTTGAGTATTCATTACAGGAAATAGTTTGAACAGTCCTCAGTTATATTGAAGTGTCCTCTGGATGTGTTTGAAGCTTAGTACATGTAAACTACCTAATCAAACCAAGATGGTTTAATTGAGGCTCAGAAAGGCATTATTCTTGTCAGTAATCATTTAGCTTAGATAATCTTCTGGGCAAACATCAGTCATGGATTATTCTGTATAATATATTTATTTGATGATCCTGACAAAGACTATTTTCAAAATGCTGATAGAGGAATGCCACAAGCTGAATTCAAACACTTCTGTTTGTTTGAAACAGATGCAATGCTGCTAAAAATTTTATGCGGCTGCATCTTGATCATCAACGGGTATAATAAGGCTTAGGGAAATATAAATGCCTGGTGTTCTTTCACTGGGCTATTTAGAACATTTATTAACCATTGTCATCACCACCTCATAGGTTTTCCATTGAGCTCTATAGCATACTCAGTATTAAGGTTCCGAACCACAATCACAATACTGTACTTACCAGAGATAATGACGGATTTATGCTTCACTCCTATGCAGCAATTTCAGTAACTCCATAGACCATCCTAGCCGCCACATTTTCACTAATGCAAATTTGAAGGTGGTCTGCAAAGGTGCCCCCTTAGAATGATTCACACCAATGTAATCCAGATTTTATCAAGACACATATGACATTGGTCTCCTTTGCTTCTTCCAGGAGTGAACACAGTTGAACATTATCAATAAAAACAAGAGGAAGCCTTAGCATTTTTTGGAAGTGCATCTCCACATTTGCATTAAGTATGAAATCACCTCCAGTGCTTGACGAGGAAGTTAGACATTATGCAAAATAACACTATCCAACATATTTATATCTCTTA